CTTTGGCCTGGACCATCGCTCTTGTAGGAGGAACGGTTCCCAGTAGTGAGTTGGTCAGGCCATTCTCCAGCAGTCAGGTACTCCCTCCTCTCACTGCTTTTGCTCATCTCAAAGCTTGAGTGTTTGAGAAAGCCGTGCTGATCGGGGCAGAACTGGCCATGGCAGTAGGTGACGGTGCAGTAAAATGCACCCGCATAACTTGCCCGGGGGCAGCTGGACTGGACTGGCTGCCTGTGGGACAGGGTAGCTTGCTTTGGCATGCTGTCCCATCCAAACCCCAGAGGCAGCGTGAGAGAGCTTGCAGCTCTGTCCAGGTCAGGATCTGCCCTGAGAGAAAAGTGTGGGTCTACTGATAAGAGTTATGTCTGGCAGATGGTCAGGTGGATGTGGGTGGCCGCTCAAGGGGTAGAAAGCACTAAAAACAGGCCAGACTATATGCAGGTGGTCCAAGTTCCCTTTTGTCCCTGCTCTCAGTAGCTAGCTTAGATCATAACAAGTCTTTAGAGGCATCTTGCTGCTCTCCCCTTTCATGAGATCTGGTGGCTTTGATGGCTTTTAACACAACTGAATGTGGTCTTGTGAAAACGATAGACTGTGAAAGTAGTTGAGGACTGAGGCTCCAAGGGAGGCCTCTGCGTCTTTCTTCTACACCGTGGGGTCTTGACAGACAGGATATTCCATGTCTCCCCTTTTGATGGCTTTTGTTTGTGCAAGCTTAGCTCTGACTGGAGCACAGTGAGTAGCGGAAGAGCAGGGGCTTAATCTTTGGCCAGGCAACCTCTCTGAGCGGAGCCCTGGCTGGTGACTATAGCGAGCAAGAGTGTCGTGGCTCTCCGTGTGCCTGGTGGAGCCTAGGGAAGTGCCAGGGTCCGAGATGGGACAGACGCACTGAATTTTGGTTTCTAAACATGCTCCGTTAAGGCACAGTGCTGCTGACTTCAGGTTTGGGAGGGAAGCAGGTAGGCTTTCCTTCCTGTAACAGTTTTACAATGCCTGGGTGCCAGTGAGCGTGTCCCAGCATGGAGGGATGTGTTCAGCACTCCGCTCTTCATGTGTGTTGTGCAGAGGGAGAGAGCAGCTGACTCTTGGCTTCCCAGACAGGGGAACCTTTTGTGCATCAGCATGGTCTGAAATGTCTGCTGCAGGATTCTCCCCTCTCAGAGAACAAACTAGACCTGGGTGTTGGACTTGTGCTCCTGAGCAGCCTTCTGCCATCATCCCTATCTGCATCTGACAAATCCTGCCAGGGCCCGTATGGCTGAAAAGGACACAGGGTTCCCTGTGTCCTTTTCCCTGTGTCCTGCATGGCTACCTTTCCCCTCTGATGCAGCTTACTTGGCCATTCTTGTTCTCAAGTTGCTGACACCGTTTTTGAACGGGACTGTCGGTGTCAGAACTGCAAAAGGGAGAGTTTGAACAGAAACAGGCAGGCAGAGCAGAGTAGCCTTTTCTGACACCTCTTGGCTGATTTGAAGGTCCCTCTCCAGCAGTCCCAGTTCCTGGTGCTGAGCCTGAAGACCACCCCTGCAAATGAGCCGATCAAACAGTGTCCGGCATGCCTCGCTGCGACAGGCTGGTCTGGTCCTGTAAGGACCTGGGTAAGCTTTCACTTCTGCAAGGAGCTGAGAGGGAGGAGGTCATGATGCAGAGTGGATGGGATGGCAGGGCTGGGAGAGGGCTCTGGATCCTCATACGCTGGGTTTGGTCAGGTGTAGCCTTGCTCTGTATTAGCTCTTGTGCCTGAGCTGATATGCTGTGAGCAACTGCCAGGCCACCATCGCTCTCTCCCGGGCTCCCTGGTGAACAGGGTCAGTGAAGCTTGGGAAGGAGCACAGAGGGGACTCGGGGAGTTTGATTCTGGGCAGGTAGTGGTGAGACCAGGGCAGAGCCAAGTATTTGTAGTGCTCTCAGTATCTGGTGAACACAGTAGGTACCAGTGGGTTTGCTCAGCTCTTCCCACAGGCAGAATTTGCCCCATCTCAGTGTGGTACGAATCTCTGAACTCGAAGGGGAAACTCCAGACAACGAGGGGCAACGTGAGGCTGGGACAGACGTGTCTGTTTACGTGACAGCGTCTGTGGCTCTGCGTGGTGTCAGGACTGTCTTGTGAGGTAATACCTGTTTGTAATAGAAGAGATGAAAGGAAGGGCTCTTCAGTTCAGGCTGCTTTTTGTTTTCATTGCAGAGAATAACACTCCAAGATCTGAACCCCTGAATCTTTGTGCAGCATGCGAGTATAAATTCCCTTGTATTCAGAAGTGGCTCCTGGAGTTATTTTAAGTGTATGAGTGTCAATAAATAGTTTCTTGACCTAGCAAACAAGTGAGGTTAGAAAATAATGCAAATGTAGTAACCCTTCGCTCTAGCACTGTGACCTGTGTAAATGTTGATGAGTGCAGCTGCACAGCCCATCATGGGAAGCAGGCCTGAAATGCATCTCCCATGTAGAGAAACTGGGACTGAGACGTGTTTGCACTTGCCCAGGGCTGTCCTAGGTGAAGATGTAGAACGGATATCCTAACTCCCAGAGCTGGGCTCTATGCGCTGTGATGTACGTAGTCTTCTGGCCCCCTATGCTGGGAGGGGGCATAGGCCGAGGTCTGGCCAAGCATATATTTCAGTCTGCAAGCAGTGCTGTAGAAATCAGTGCTCCTGAGAGGAGGTGAAGTCTTTGCCAGACCAGGGCTCTGTGTTTGGCCTAGACCTTTGCAGTGAGTCGTCTTTTTTTGCTCAGAAAATGTTTGGCATGCAGCACCCACGGGTTGCTGGTGCCCCTTGCCTCCTGCTCCCCACTTGGCACGGGGGTTTGCAGTGCCACTAGCAGTATTTCATTATGCAAAGGGAACCCTGGGGGGCTCTAACAGAGCACTGGATAGATGGAGTCAAGGGTCCTGCACACCGATACTGAGAGACTTAGAGCACATTCATCGTTATTCCAAGTGGATTATTCAGCTACGCTTGCCCCAACCCCAGGTGCTCTGAGTTAGGGTATATTCGCTTTTAGGGGCTATGTATGTTGAAGCTGGCACCACGTCTCTTGCCCAATTGCAGGGGTTTGTGCTTCAGTTACTGACCTGGGTTTATTGTCTGGTGCCCTCGAGTGAGCATGGTGGGAGTATCTCAGAAATGGAAGACTGACTTAAATTGCTGTTTTTTTCCCCCCTTCATCCCCCTCCCTCCCCAGCTCAGATTTTCCATAGGAGTTTAGGTGACACGTCTCTCCACCCCGTCCTGAGCTTCTCGCAGAAGCAGGGAATTTCAGGTGAACTGTCTCTGGCTTGTCTCTCCTTATGTGTACTCATACATCTCCTTTTATTACCATCTGCAGGGGAAAAGTGCTCCTTCTGTGGCACGCAAATGCACCTGACAACATATTCACTTCCGAATGGAGAGCAGCGAGGGAATTGGTTAATGAAATGCATCTCCCTCTGCATTTTGTTTTGTGGGTTGGGCAGAAGCACTTGCTACATTAGCATTCAGCTGGTGCAAATGAGGATTTTAAAGGTTTGTGGTGTGTGATGTCTTCCCCTCCCCCCTTCCCCCTCTTTTCCCCAGCTGGCGAAATACAGTAACCTTTCCAGGGTAAATTCCTCTCCTCCTATCTGCCCATGATGTGCTTAGTCCCTGGCAGCATCATTCACTGGCGCGTGCAGGAGGTTGTGAGCCGGTCATTTCGTGCATCTCCTGCCTTTCTCAGTGCTGCTTCTATGCTGTTAAACCCAGCCGCTGCATTTCAGGCTTGCAGGAGTCTGCTTCTCCTTCCCCATAGCCCTGAAAGCTGCGGGCAGCTCAGGCCTTTCCGTGGGTAAGGGCTCATAGTTGTGCAGCTAAGGAAGGGGAAAGTGTCAGACGAAAGCGAGTCAGGAGGCTCAAAGAGACTGACCGGAGCAGACAGACCCTCTGGGTGGTGAGGTCTGGGAGTGACGGAGGTTGGGCAGTGTGTGCGGGGCTGGCCGGGTGACAGGGAGAGCGGTGTCCAGCGACCAGGCTGAGCTGGGTTGTGGGTTTCTGGAGGTGATTAGTGAAAGGGAGTAAAACACGGGCAAAAATCATGTCTCTTGTCTAATGGTAGCTGCCAAAATGCAGAGGCTTCCTGTTATATGCACAGACATGATAACTACGATATGCCCATGCTTGATTGATCCAGGTGGCCTAAAAGGCAGCCCTCCTGCAGGAACTGCAAAGACGACATTCGTGTGTGTGTGTCCGGGGTGCAGTCCCTCACTTGGAGGAGCATGGGATAGTGTTGGGTAGCTGCTCTGGTCGCCAGGCACGGCCACAACCATGGGAGAAGGTCTGGGGACCGCCTGCCCGAGGCAGCGGGTGCAGCCTTGGGACAGCATATACCAAAGCAGGGACCGGCCGGGCCACTGTGACCTGTGCGCTCAGCTTGTTCCATTTTTCTTGGATTTTGATGCCAGGTAGTAAATGTGTGACGTGACAATGCCTTGTGGCTCCCTGCCCTTCCTTCCCCGGCTTCCCCGCGTGCCACCAGAGGTTCGAGCCGGGTCATGGTCCGCCTCTCCTGCTGCTGGCTGTGGCGAACGAGTGAATCTGCAGTGATTCTTGGTGTGAGCGTACCTATTGAGTAAATAGCTGTTTAGGGCAATTAATTAGGTTTGCAGATTTTGGAGCCCTGCGCGCTCCAGAGGTGTTATTTTAGTTGTGGGAAGGTGTAGCTTTCTACCTGTTAATAACTACATTTGCGAAGATTTGTTAAAGCTGTTAATTTCGTTTAAACATTTTGTGCGAGGGAGGTTCTAGAAAATTACTGTAATTGTAGCTGTCAGATGAAGACGTTTGCTGTGCCTGGAGGGATTGGGCTCGTATTGCGTTTCTGCTGGCAGCGGCTAGACGTGCGTGTTGGCAATACGCTGTGTGTTATGACTGGAGATACAGGGAGTGTGCGCCGGAGCTGTGGTGGTGCTTGGAGGGGCATGGGGGGGGGCGCAGGAGTAAACGTACACGTGCTTTTGTGCTCCCCTTTCCAAAGGAGAGGTGCTCTTCTCCATAACACAGTGTGCGTCTGGCTTTTAAGGATGCATAATCCATAATATTTTATGGATTTTGTGCGACTTACATTGTGGATTGTGGTTGTAGGCAAAGCCGGGCTGGGGATCCTAGTGGCAGCCTCTTACCGGTTTGGCGGGACACCTCCAGCAGACGAAAGGGACTGCGTGCCGGAGCCCGGTGTTTGTGAGGGCGACTTCCGCTCCCCCTTGTCGCGCTGCTCTTTCGCTCCGGATGTGGGTCCGTACCAGCGCTTCCTCTGTGCGCAGGCTCCAGGCCTGGGGAACGGACGTTGGCAAAGAGGGCAGGAGCAAGTCCTGCGAGGGTTAGCTAGGCAGCACAAGTCACTTGCTGCCGTATGGCTCTGCGGACTGAGCCCTGTTTCTGGCTCTGCCTCCATCACGCCGCAGGGCTGCGGCAAATCCCCACCATGACTTCTGGGCAGGTTTCCCTTCCCTCCCTCTGCCCTGTTGAGAGGTGGGCTGTTCAGAGCTGGCTTGTCCAGGCTGTGCATGTCATCGGGGGGGGGGGGCTGTAGTTGCCCCCACCTTAAAAATACCTAATAATACTTTTAAAAGGTATGAAGAGGACAAGTCGGTAGATAGAGAATCTGGTGGCAAAGTGCTGTGGGAGAGAGCAGCCAGCCAATTTCAGAAGGCCAAATTCCTTGCATACGCTGCATTTTCTGCCTGGGGTGTAGTGTTGCTGGCTGGCAGTCTTTGCAAGCTTGAGCCTCCTGTGTGGATCAGGCTGATGGGAGAGGGGGAGGGTGCTGTCTTTTCCCCCTCTACTGCAGTCACCTCTGGGCTCGGGGCTAAAAGCCTTGGCACAAACGGCTCAACTCCAGCTGGGTTTAGCATGTCAGCCTGGAGGGAGTTGGGCGCGCCGTTCCTGTGGGCGCAGAGGGTAGTGCTTTGGCACGTTGCTGATGGCAATTTGCTGTAATGCTCTTCACCTTCTCGCCTGCGGCGGGGAATCTTTACTGAGTGGCCTATTAGGGTGTTCAGGGTAGTCAGTGAAACAGGGCTGGGAGGTTTTTTTTGTGGCTCGGGATGGCTTTGAAAGCTAAACCCTAGCTGGGGAGCTGGAAAACGTTGGGTATATATCTGTCCTGTTTCCCTTTTTCCCTCAAGCATCTTCCTTCCCTGCCTCCCTACGTGAAGACCTCTCGCTTTGCAGTACTTCTGCAAAAATTTCTCCCTTCAGAATGTGTGTTTGGGAGGAGAACAGACCATCCTAAATATCCCTGTGGCCCTAGGGTGAGCAGTACGCTGGAGCTTACCTTGCACCGGCTGTGACCTGTGTGTCTGTGGGGTGCATCACAGCCGCCACAGCAGCAGGGCCTGCTCTCCAGCCGTCTCCGTCCACAGCAGGCTTAGCTTGCTCTGTCTGACCTTTCTCCTTTCCTCCTAGTGCCGGCTGTCTGCAACCCAGCTCTGTGCCTAGGCTGGGCCAGTCTCTAGGTGCCAGGCATGTACTGCCTTCTCCGTTGCACCCCTGTGCCCCGCGATGGGATGAGAGAAGCAACACGAGGTCGCCGCGGTCACAGCCCCTGGCTGGGGTGG